GTAGGCACGGGCTGCTGGCGTCCCTGCAGCTGGTCGATCGTCTCTCCTGATGTAGGCACGGGCTGCTGTCGACCCTGCAGCTGGTCGGTGCTCTCGCCTGTAGGCACGGGCTGCTGACGTCCCTTCAGCTGGTCGGTGCTCTCGCCTGTAGGCTCGGGCTGGCGTCCCTGTACCTGGTCGGTGCTCTCGCCTGTAGGCTCGGGCTGGCGTCTCTGTACCTGGTCGGTGCTCTCGCCTGTAGGCTCGGGCTGGCGTCCCTGGTCCGTGCTGTTACCAGATCTCGGCGTCTTGCTCTTGCCGCAGACACCGACTCTCCAGGATACGTTGTCTGGTTTAATCCATTTGAATAAACATTAGATTGCCAAATCTACGCATGTCATATTCTGTCGTTGTATAGTTTCAAATAGTAGAAATATTGCAGACATATTGGCTCAAGAATCGATAACGTGCTGGGGACTTGTTGCATGAAATCAGATGCACGACCATCTAAATCAACTCGTGCATCCCTATTTCATCAAAAAATTAAAACATGGAAGAAGTTCTTTGTCACATAAGAGAAAGTACAATGAGTTGTTCCATTTAAACAAGCCATACCTGTCCCTTTGTACTGCCTCCGGGTACAGCTGGCCATTGTTGATGCCTTCCAAAATGCCCACACCGGTGGGAACAGTGTCTAAAATGTATAACATATGATGTGATTTGCAATTTCTATTTTATGGAGAATACCGTGTAAAACATTTTCTGCAAATAATGTCACGTAGCACGGCAATTGGTTAAAAGCTTGAATATCGTACGTAAAACAGTGACAGTAATGAGGCTGTGACTTTAATGTAATACACATGTACTGCTGTCGTTGTTGCCTTACATATAAGCTTGAATGAGCTTGAGGATGAAGCATGCCTACCCACAATGACATGCTTGCATACCGACAAGTCGATGAAAACCATAACCAATGCATTACCTTCAGACCTCTGGAGAACGATCATCTGTGTGTGGCCTCTTGGTGCTAACAGGAGCATAAGGGGAAGACTCCCGTCCGACTGACAGTACTTTACAACTGTGACGAAAGTAATGAATTTCATTATGTTTCCGTTAAAACAATACTCCTTCAGTTCACTCGTAGACAATGCTGTAATCAATGTGTCTCTTTCCTGACGGTGGGATTAGCTTCAATGACACGCTGCAGGGTGCCAGAGAAGCCCATTCAGAAAGTGTGTAAGAGCCATGCCTTGGATTGCCGCCTCATTGTAGGTACCCTAGGCACAACGCACCGGTCGTAAGAGCTCTGCGGCGAATACAATCAGGGTTCCCCAGGCCGCCGTCTGGGCGAGGCCAGCTGGTGCTGGAAGGTAAAGGTAAACCTCTCCTGTGAAAATGCATGAGAAAGTGCCCCGTTGGAGTAATCCTGTTGTACCTGCGGTGGTAAGCTCGTGAAATATGTAAAGGCAGGTCCGTCGAGGAACGTGGGAAACACCCTGGAACAGGCATCATAGCCATCCAGCCCAACGAAGCACGAGGTCAGGTCGTGCAGTGCGGCCGCCGTTACGATACAACAACTTTGATGTGGACTGATAATGATGTGCACTGTGCAGTACGGACTGATAAACATGTAGAGGACTGCCTTTTGCAGATAAGCTACCAAGCCTCCTCTGGCAAAGAAATGCCCAGAGTGCTACCAGTAACTGTGCGGAGCTTGTCTGTCACCAGGGACACCTTGACGCTGTGCTGTGGAAAAGAATGGTGACCAGTAATTAACAGACGAATCTTTATAAACATTTTTTATGGAAATACTGTTTAAATGAATATAATTATTGAATATCATTATTACTTTTAAATCAGTTGCTAGATTTGTATAAGAACACATAAGTGTTAATGCAGCTATCTTAATTTTCTAATTCCACTTACTTAAAACAGGTTCAATTTTCAATTCAGTCTTCAACAAATTAACCAACAAATTAAATTGGTGTGGCCTTGTGTCTCTATTTCCTGCCCGTGTTGGTCTAGCAACCCCCGTCCCGCAGGATGATGCTTCAAAGGCTTTGACCTGATTTGAGGACTTTTTAAAGTCGCCACCGCGGATGTCGTCACTAACCCCAAGTGAGCCTCACTGGGCCACGCCACCGAATATCCTCCCCAGACAGGATGTATACAAGTGCCGCCAGAAAGTAGTACGTGACAAGGACAAAATATCTAGTAATAAGTGTTCCCTTTTAAACAGTTTGCATTATTTTCGTATAGTGTTATATTTTTGAAGTATTATAGGTAGAATAATCTTTGCTTCGTATGATTTAGTTCTTGGTATTACTATACACGATATCTGACCAGTTCAGCGGCGGATGGATATAGACAGAATTACTTGTCGTCCGTCGCACGACCACCCAGCTTTAGTTGGAGAAGAAGGGCGGTGGCGAGAGGTAGGTACTTCATGTCAGTCGCCTTTGTCTTTACAAATTGTCGCTTTTGTGACGGTCACTTTGCGTAGAAGGAATCTTTGAGATGCTCTGGTTATTCGTATGTAAATTTGGACATGTTTTTGTGGAGGAAAGCCGATTGATTTTGCCGTTGAGCCGTTGTTCTGTTAGTGGCAGTTTGTGGAATGTGTCTCGGCACCCTGCCAGTTCGTCTAACTCTAAACCTTTTGTTCCTACCCCTAGTCCAAACCTTCAGTTTACTACTGTTTTAAACGTCTTGTACAATGTTTATGATAATACGACAAAACTTGCCCAGATTCATGTGTAAGGCTGGGCGCGACTGACATCTGTGTTGGATTATCTTGTTTACGTGTTGGCGGGCGAGAACTGTGTACGTGGCAATATTTTCGGAAGACGTGTTCGAAACAATTAGCAGCCTCACACATATTTTCTTATTAGTGGTGTAGCTCGGTGTATATTTAGGCAAAAAAGAAGATGTAAGTATTTCAGAATGTTATTTTAAGAAGTAATATGGTAGAGGTCCTAGTTCTCCGGATTTTAGCTTCAGGATTCAGATATATGACCGCTGACGTTAACCTCTTCAAGAGCCATCCCGACCAACTGATGCCGTGTTTTCTGGTCATTACCAACTTTCAAGAAAATTTTCATAGTGTAGTGGTACTAATCTTTGTTCCTTATCTTTGTGTTTTCTCTACAGAAACACCTGAGATCACCAAACAAAATGGATTAGCTGCGAGGACAACAAAACGCTTCCAATAATCATTCTCTGTCATCTTTTTCTGTGTCCTACAGTTTTATCAGCTTCATCATTGGGTGGGAAATCGGACTGCGCTCATAAACATTTCAACATCTTTGTACTTTATTATACTATGTCACATTTTGTCATCCCTTATTTCCTTGTATTTCATTTATTAAGTGGTAGCGTCAAAATAAGTATTGTAACTTGAGTGCGCTACCACTTTGTCCTGTACTTTGTCTTACTTGTGAAATTAATAAAAAATAAATAAAAAAAGTGGAAGTAGCACCCGGATGTGGTGGCCTCTACGAACTCTGTCTCATACGCTGCCATAAGCGCTGCCTCAAAGTCCGACACGATCCGCTCAGGTCGTAGGCGACGGCCGGTCTGTTCTCTTACTTTTCTTTCCACGTGGTTGAGGACTTGTCGGTAGGTTCCGACTCTTTTGTCCGCCATGAGTGCCATCACCAATGGTATCACTCTGCCATGGCACAGTCCGTGGATTGTGAGGAATTGCTGGTACGGCCGCGGACAACTTCTGAACGTGCCGTCCATGTACAGCACGCTGCAGTGTCTCATCTTTCGATAGTTCCTGTTGGTGGCAAAGACGACGATCCCCCATTCGTTGTCTTGGCTGACGTATTCGCGGCCATCCCAGGTCTCCCTCCACTGGTCGGGGATCACCACGTCAGCCACATCATAGGGGATAGGAGGGGCCACAGCAGCTCGGCGCCGTTCCAACTGCGTACGGACGGTCTGGAAGTTTGGCACGTTACCTACGTCATCCTCGTCGTGCACCACCTCGTCATAAACTCTTCTCGCAGGTTGGGATGGGTCGGCCTCCACAGTCGCCAGCATCCGACAGGTTATTCGTCTTGCCTCCACGTCTTCATCTTCGGGGCCATGGTTCACATGGGGCGATACCTGCAATGTAGTGAAACATTTTAAAAAGTGTTATTACCGTTTACTATCCTTTTTTTTCCACGTGGTAAACGTTTGGCACATCACAACGATAAAGGAGTTAAAGTGTGTTTTTTTTTCAACAAGCACTTGCTAATACGGGGGCGTGTTCTTAATGTCTTTTCCGCCTGGCCTAATCACCCGCTTGATTGTTTTGCCACCAAGCGATCTGTTTAGGGATTACCGCCACCACGCCTTCTTGACACTGGCGTAAATCATTTGTCATTGTAGCGCCCGGTATGTGTATGTTTTTCAAACGACCCTGGTAACAATCAGCCCATTCTAGGACAAAAAAATCACCCTTTTTTGTATACTGTCGTGAAGTCTGGTAGAGAGAGTGCATTTAAAATAGCATTTGCAAGCATTCAGAGTTGACGATACTTAATATCACAACGACGACAGAGGCTAAAATTCCTAAACATTTCACCTTTTTCTGACAGCATTTTGTGTACAAGAAAATTGAAGGCCGAATGCTTTTCTCCACAGAATGATAGATCATCATGATCATCATCATCATAGAATGATAGGTAGATGACGTCTGTTAACGTTGCACAATCTGTCGCCTTCCCAGATGGGGCAAGTGTACAAAGAGGAAAAACAACCGACTAAGATAAACCATTGCACACGTAATTTTTTTGGCCACACCCATGTGTGACAGGACCCGCAACGCCTTGGTGACACTCGCCCCGCCGAAGAGGATGGCAGATGACAGCATCATGTATCCGGCTGCTACCCTGCCAAAGAAAGGCTGACTCCTCCACGTTTCCCGGTAACTACATCTCTTGAACACGACTTGCAGATAATTAAGTTCCTACTTCCTTGCTGAGCCAAACAAGCCGCCTACAGCCACACAATGGACAGTTGCACCAGACCGAAACAGCTGTTCCAAACAAGTCCAGAAAATAGAGAAGAACCGTCTGTCTGGAAACGAATCTGATGTCTCATCCGATCGCGAGGTAGGCACAGTTGTGTATCGCCGGTATGTATTTCCAGTCTACCTGCAGCTTGATCAGGTCGGCTGGGACGCTGCAGTCACTAGCCCAAGTCGCGCCGCCGTGACGAAGGCTGTGTCCGCTGTATTTGGTCTGCGGGTATCTGCTCAGGTGTAACAACTGAAAGTCACGAAAGGTAGGTGTGTCAATGGCAAGTACTAGTAATCCGAGCCCGTTTCCTGAGGGAGAGCGAAGGCCGGCCCGTCTGGGTTCGCTGCGGATGTAATGGAGAACGCTTTCTCCAGGGCTGTTGTAGGGCACGGGGGGAGCCAGGAACACGTAGAATGGATATTTGGAGGGTCCGTTCCTGGAACTTGATTGGTTTGCTCCAGCGGACACTGATCACTGCACCTAGCCGCAACGAGGTCTCACTTCCTACAAGTCCAGTTCCTGCAGTCTTTTAGCCAAGACATCCGTCAAGGAACCGTCTATCAGAACTTCTGATGCTGACTCCTCACTCTGATTCTGAAGATACCTCTTCAGTCCCACTTTCATCTGATTTTAATAATAAAAAATAATAATATCATCGACTGACACTTGTCTAGATCAGAACGTGTGCCCTAACCAGCTGAACGTTGGTACATTTTTCCTTGTTGTGGCAGACCATGTTTTGTCAAGTATTTGTTCAGCTCAGAGACACAGCTTAGAGTTGACAACAATCCGTCGTTGTACATAGACTCCCAGTCATACTCGTCATACTCTTTCTCAAGACATTCTTTACGTCTATCAACTGCCAAAGCGGCTCTCTTGGCCTTCATGGTTTGTACCAGCCTTACGTGCTCGACATATTCATTCCCATGTTCTTCTGACACAAATTATTTCTGTGCAAACTGGTGCATTATCAATACTACATCTTTCCGAATGTGATGCAGGGCATCTTCAAACGACAAACCGTCATTTACTTGTAGATCTTCAATTTTGTTATGACCGCTACGTCCACTGTAAAAAGGAAAAAGTAAAGCTTTTCAACTGAACTATTTGTACCATTGGGGCTTACTATGATCTTAGAGAGCATACAAACATGCTAATACAATATCAAAATCAGGAGTGTGCATGGAACTGAGGCAAGAAGACCAGCACCAGGTCCATCAGTCGCTCAAACGTGGCAGGCGCGTTCGTCATGCCAAAGGGAAGTACATTGAATTCGTGCAAGCTCCAAGACGACGTTTTGTCAAGTCTTTTTCAAGCACAGACACTTTTGGCGTAGACTTTGGCGGGTTGAGTTCGTGATCAGCCTGGGTGGCCCCTTCTGCCGCGGCGTTCTTTTTGTTGACGATCTCCGCGATGCCAACTGTACGGTAGTGCTTTATTCAGACTTAAAACCCATAGAAGTCCTCATCCCCTGAGTCGGACCTGAAGAGCTCCTCGTTGTCTACCTCTGGCTCGGTGTCCGTCTGGAGGTCTTCGTTGTCCTCGCCGTCCTCGAATATGGCCTTCATCTTCGATGCCGTCCATAGCGAGCGAGATGCCCGCCTTCCGGAACGACCTCTTCACGATGTCTTCGCTTATGGTGTCCTATGACTCCGTAAGCCATTCCAGGACTTGAGTTTTGGATGGCGCCTTCCGGTTCCCCATCTTCGTGTATTCCCGGGGTCCGTCTATAATCCAGGCAGTCCACTTGACTTTCACCCTGTCCTTCCAACATCCAAAGTCTGAAGCACGGACGTCAGCAACTTCCGACGTGCCACCACCTTGTCTGTCCCCTCCATTGCATGCTCTCTTTGCGTTTTGAGGTTCTCATAGAACCGGTTGCACGCTTCTGGTTATGTAAAAGAAAGGCAATGTCAGTGGCGGGACATTGAGTTGGATTGGTTTGTAAGTATGAAAGGAAATGTCACAGGAATATGAACAATATAGCCTTAGCGATTTAAGTGTTTTTGACCCCTACTTAAATATCGGTTCAGCATGTTACTTTAGAAAACAAAAAAATATAGTGTGTGTGTGTATAGTCGGTAAAAACAAGAACTTAATACCAGCATCAATACTTGGGACCATAAGTAAGGTCTATATTGAACAGTTGGCTGGAGAGGGAGTAAAGTCCCACCAACAAAGAAAGCCACTACATATTCAAAATACAGTATGCAGCAATGTCCCAGGGCGTAGGCCTTGTCATCCACGCTGATGAGTAGTACATGGTTACTGGATGCATCAGCCTTCCTTCCAACCGGAGGTACTGTAATACTTTTGTCTCTCCCAGTGATTGTCTAACCTGGTTTTGAACGCGATAGTTACCTCGTCAAAATCGTTCCGGGCCTCTTCCGACAAAACAGCAATTTGGCGTTTCGCTTGCCCCTCCAGATTCCTGTAGAGCATACCAGCTCTCTGTCCTTCAGGCGTGTTATACAGAGCGAATGCACTCTGCATCTCCTCTAACCATTCTTCCACTACAGGACCTGACGGGTCACCCGAGAATTTGGGCCATTTTCTTTCAAACGGGACATATACAGCCGCCACCTCCTGACCTTCTGCGATAATTGTTCAACGGCTACTTCAACTTCAAAACCAAAGTAAAGTCTCTCAAAACTACATATACACATCAGCAACCCTACAGCAGACAAAACTGATACCCTCTGATCAACTTCGACACTACAAGAACAACAACTGCGATACAACGCCCCCTTTTTTCAACACGATTATGGCTATGTTCAGACACCAAATGATAAATTGTGAATGTACTGAGTATAATGATCTCAAGGAAATTTTCACGTTATATCACTGAAAGAAAAAAATCAATACTTTTCTTGTAGGATCTTGTATTATGGGAATATTTCAACTTTACGCTCTAACTTTATTGACCTTTTAAATTAAGTATGCGACATTAACATCCGGCCCGAGTCTAAAACAAAAACAAACAACGCAGATCTGGTCGGGTAGGTAGGGCTTTTTATTCTACGTTTGTGTCATATCCTCCAAAAACACCCTCGATCCATACAAAAATATATTTTCAAAGATGTATCCCAAACGTCAAACAAACTAACACAAACCCCACTCAAACCTGGAATGAAGGTCAGCAACATTTAAAAAGAAAGTTTGAAATCAACACTATGGCGGGTGAACCTTAACACTCCCGAGGTATCTCTTGACAATGCACAAATCAAAGTATATGAGATAAAACAAGTTTGAAATCAACACTTTGGCGGGTTTACCTTAACACTCCCGAAGGATCTCTTGTACAAAACAACATATTATGTGAGATAAAACATAAGTTTGAAATCAACACTTTGGCGGGTTTACCTTAACACTCCCGAAGGATCTCTTGTACAAAACAACAAATTATGTAAGGTAAAACATAAGTTTGAAATCAACACTATGGTGGGTCTCGAACAAGGTCCCTTAACATATTACACATACGGTTTTATACAGTAGAGTACGGCGTTCCAATACCGCCTCAGGGATCTTTCACCTATCTATTGTACTCTCTCTTTAGCCTGCGGATACGCCGCTCTAGGTTCCGCCACTTTCTCTTCGTAGGGGGAAGTGGATCGCCTCTGCTTTTGCAGTTGCACAGCTGCTAGCGCGCGACTCTTTCCTGGTTCTTGCGAGTCTTGCTGCGACTGGAAAGCCCATGAAACATAGGCTTTTCCCCCCGCCCGTTCGCACACTTAGGAACACGTCCTTTCCACTCATCAAAAACTCCAGAGTGGACTTTTGATGGTCATGCAGGCTCTTCAATACAAAGAACTCGCAAAAATTCTCTTCCCAAGACGACGCCATGTTTGTTTTTATTTGTCACTGAACAGCCGATGTAAGAGCCGGCATGATTGGTTCCGATAGCTAGCGCATGCTGTCCTTCCCACCACTGCGTCAAACGCATTCGTTACATGAGCGGCACTCGCCTCTCCACACACCACGTTTGTCTCTCATAGTATAGCGGACAGTATCCAGCCGGCCGACAGTATCCAACCGGCCACCGAAGATCTGTCGTCAGTCGAAACTTAGATCAGTAATATGGTTAACACATTTTTCACAGAACCATCTACAAATCATCCTTACAACAATTGTCAGTCTTATCCCAGAAAAACGTAATACGAGATCAGCATCTGTTCTGCGGGATATCACCAATAACAATCATTGATAAAATGTTGCCCTTTAGCACTTCATTCAACTATCAGAGCATCAGTTTCAGCAACATCATCGTCGTCTGTGTCTTCAGGCTCTGTGTCTGTTTCAGCGATGTTGCCCTTCTGTAGAAACTGCTCTAACCACTTGCCCTCAGTTACTTTACCGAACCCCTTTGACACAGTATCCTCAAACGTTAGTCCCGATTCAAGACGCCGTCCTGGGCTAACACAGTAAACTTTACCATCTAACAGCCGTCCTATCATGGTGGTGATATCCGGTGACGTGTGTCCCACTGTCTGTTGTGTCCCGAACAGCTTGCTGCAGAACCGACGAGCCTCGTCCAACAGCGGAACGGCTAGTGACACTTCTTTTGCGTGCTTGTAGGTGAGATGGCCACCTGACCTTTTTAGGACATTCTTGAGTATCCTGTATTGGATTAAAGAGTATATCAGCCATTTTTTCAATAGTTCTGTATTACAGTCATGTGGTATAATAATTGTGTATCGTACTTTCAAGTAATGTGCCATCAAAATTGTGCTATATCATGTAACATTTATTGTAATTTTGCAGACATGCTTGTACATATTTTATGTTGTTCAAATTAGTACAATCACAGACAAAGCACATCATCATTCTGAACATGTCATGTTGTAAATAGGTATCTTTTATTTCAATACTGTTTATTGAGGTGAGATTTTGTAAGAATAGAAATATCTCAGATTGCGTACTTGTTGTAATGCTCCACGAGCATGTCGACTGCCTTGCCGTGGCCCTCCCTGTCCTGGAGGTTGACAGTTCTGTTGTTGGTGGCAAGTACAGCCACTGCCCCTGACCAATCTGCTGCGAGATTGGCAAGGAGATAGGCAGCCTGTGCTGTACTGAGTCCGGCCTGTGCCAAGGAATGTTGTATGTTCATTTGAGCTTTGATCTATGTCATCATTTGTCGTGTTGTTTGCAGTTGTACCTGTGTTTTTTTCTGGTTGTGTTAATTTAGGGTGTTTTGGTGTGGATTTGTATGTGTTTTCGGTTGACGTGTCTGATGTGTGATGTTTGGCCTTGCTCCTTTGGGTGATGATCTTGCTTCCTTTTTGACATGCTATGTCCTTTGGGACACATGAGAGTTGCATGAATTCTTTGTCATTAATCCGGTAATATCTATCAATTTATGTTTGTTGTATAAAGTTGCTGACTCATAACGCATTAATACGAGGATGCATTCTAGATCTGTAACGCCTTGTGTAGTGCTGTTTTCTGTTCTGGTTGGATTCAAGTTTTCAATGTCTTCAGGTGTTTGTGTATCTGTCGTTCGTTGTGGTGTTGTCATACCTTATTTAGCTGGTACAGTGTATTTTGATTTTTTTTGGTTTTTACTGTTTGACGTAGTAGGCCAACCACCTGTTTGGATTAAAGAAGTCGATTGTTTCTTGGTCGCGAGTTGTACAGTTAACCATTATAGCATATGTGAGGTTAATAAAGTTTACCGGACTAACCTGTAATTTGTTTCTGCTGATTTCCTAATACCTGCTATGAATCATCACGTAGTCGCAAGCCATACGGTCAGTATACGTAGTGCTCAAGCGGTGGTTCATCATCTATATGGCGTTTCCTCAAAACCTTAAATCATTGTTTATGGTTTTGTATACGAATGATCACATATGGACCCTGCCTTGTTGGCTACATGTATGTATTATAGTGCTTGTGTATTGGCCCGTGTTTGTAGAGGTAGGGAGTATTTCTAATTGTGCCAAACTCGGTAAAATACACCAACAGGACAAAGGCTAACATGTGGTTTACATCGTGTTACAATTGAATGGTATGATATGTTGCTTACCTGTTTTATGTCTTGTTAGAAGCTGTCAACCCCTGTGAGAAACGCCAGGGCCGTCCGCGATGGGACAGATTCCCTCGATGAGATCTGTGGGCCTGTAGGAAAACAGCGGTATATAACAACGTGTCATTATGGCGGCAACGGGGGCCATTGGACAGGAGACAAAAGATCCCCCTTTTTAAAAATAGGAATAACATTTGCAAATTTCCATATGTCAGGGAAAATTCCATGACACAGAGGAAGATTAAACACATATGATTTCTTATCGGCAATTAAAGGTGTTATAACTTTAACGAACTTATTATCAATATTATCATGGCCACGTCAGCGTCTTCTTCAGCTGACGCATCTGGAGCCTCGTCGCCATCGTGCTGTGTGGCACCGCCTGTTGCGCCGCCGTCAGTCAGGGCAGCGAGGCCCTTTGGCAGGGTCCAGTCGTCAGTTTGGTCCGCGTCCAGCTGAAATTTGGCATACCACACTGACAACATATCCATTCTAGACTGTTATGTTCCTCCAGAGCATTGTAGTTTGCGGTAGACATGGACATGCAGTCAACATGATACCAACCTTGTCATTCATCACATGCAATAGCTCTTTGGTTCCATTCGGTAGCTTTGCCACATAAAAGACATGGGAATTTGGTAGGGACCTGGGTTGGGGTGAAGGTCTCCTGACTGAGTTAGCATGGCAAGGAGGGCCATAGTTACAGAAAAAAATGCTAAGTCTCACCAATTATGGCCTGTATTGTATTCGTGTCCAGTTTTGGTCCCTTGGCGTCTCCCCCTGCTGTCCGTGTCAGCAGCTCATCTCGCCATTATTCTCACCCTGGCGGTGGTGGACTTTCCCCCCTGCGCCCTCGTCATTGCGTCAGGTGAGACATAGACCTGCCGATGCTCGGCCCTAACACGAACTGCAAGGACCTAAACTTAATATTGTAATAAACATTAGAAATAGGATGTCTGATCAGACCACGAAACACATACTGTGAATTTAGTCACCCATTGCAGCAGACGCCATCGCCGGGACTCAACTATTGCCTCGTTTTCGTGCGCGCACGCGAGACTTCGCCAGCGCGAGATTCTACGTGAGTTTTATCTGGAAAGCGGACTATTCTAACAGAATATAATAATGTTTTACGACATCATGACTTAGCTAGATGACAAAGAATAGGAAGATGGAAGGATGCGTTTGATCTATTATTTACAACAAAATAGGGGACTCTTTAATGTCAGATTTACTGAACATGATCATGCATCTTGTACATGTCACAGTCTGTAAGAAATGGCTTTAGGGGAAAAATGCACAAATCATCTCACCTGTCCTCTCTCCATTCGAAGGACCGGCACCCGGGGATGCTCCAGACCAGGTGTTGTCTCCCCGCCAGTTGTCTCCTGAGTTGGACTGTCCGGCGACCGGGCTCATGGAGTTGGCTGGGCCCCGCCAGGTGTTGTCTCCCCGCCAGTTGTCTCCTGAGTTGGACTGTCCGGCGACCGGGCTCATGGAGTTGGCTGGGCCCCGCCAGGTGTTGTCTCCCCGCCAGTTGTCTCCTGAGTTGGACTGTCCGGCGACCGGGCTCATGAAGTTGGCTGGGCCCGCAGGTGTTGTCTCCCGCCAGGTTGTCTCCTGAGTTGGACTGTCCAGCGACCGGGCTCATGGAGTNGCGGCGAGACGATGGGGCTCTCTATGGTCAGGCAAACGGCTCTTAGTGCTCGCGGACAGTGACAGTTCAGTCTGTGCGATAAACAAAGGCACATCGGCCGTCAACCCGCTTTATGCGGTGCATTAGAGAGCTATTCTGGCTGTCTGCCGAGCACAACTTCTCCTTACAAGCCCGCCACGTGAAAGGCAAGGACAACACTCTGGCGGACGCCCTGTCACGGCTTGATGACCCCGCACAGGCCGAGCTCGCCAAGACCAGAGTACTGCAGTGGACACTTGAGAATACAGGAGTTTCGGTTGACTGCCACCGGCCACATGTGTCAAAAAGCACATTGGCTGTTTTGCCTACCCAGGCGACTTCCTGGCTCCCAGTACAGACCAAGACACATGTGCAGTGACTCGTCCCTAACTGCTGTTTATCTTCCCCACTGCAGACCACATCTTGGAAAGTGAAGCCTCGCTCGATGCGGACATCCGATACTACCGGGCGGGCACGTATGCTGAGTCGACCAAAGCGACATACCGGTCCCAGCGGCGAGCGTATCTCCGGTTCTGTCTCTTCCACCAATACACACCTGTTCCGGCAACCCCAAAAACGATAAGCAGATACGCGGTGTTCCTGGCACGGACACTGAAATACACTAGCGTGGTGAACTACCTCAACATTATACGCATCCTCCACCAGGAAGCGGGATACGGCAACCCCTTGCAGGATAACTGGCTCCTACAAACCACCCTACGCGGTATCCGTCGGATCAAGGGTGAGAGTCCCAAACAAAAACTTCCTATAACCCCCGATGTCTTGCGTGCCATCCACGAGCGCTTGGACCTAGCCCGGACTCAAGACGTGGTGTTCTGGGCGGCCTGTACGGTGGCCTTCTCGTTTTTCCGAAAATCTAACCTCCTGCCGAAGACGACAAAAACATTCGACCCGAGCAAACAACTATGCAGGAGAGACTTTCGCGTCTTTGAGTGGGGCGCGATCATTACAGTGAGGTGGAGCAAGACAATTCAGTTCAAAGAGCGTGTGCTGCAAATCCCCATTCCGCGAATCCCCGGGTCGCCACTGTGCCCCACCACAGCGGTGGAAAACGCATTCTCCCGGACCAAAACAGCAGCCGCGGACGGTCCCGCGTTTGTTCTCCCCCAGGAAACGGGGCAGGGACGGTACACGGCACTTACACACCAGCCTTTCGTCCGGACATTGCGTCACCTACTGAAACAGTGTGGCTATCGGGACTCTGAATACAGCGGCCACAGTTTCCGTCGCGGAGGAGCAACATGGGCCTCCGAGTGCGGAATACCCCCAGAACTGATCAAACTACAGGGGGACTGGCGATCAAATGCGTACCAGCGCTACACGGCAGTCACATTGAAAGGACGGTTGTGGACAGTAAAGACAATGGCTAACGCCTTGGTGTAAACAAACTGTTGTGTAAACAAATAGTTCAGCGTAGCGTTCTATGCTAGAGTAGCTTAGCGGTTACTTCACTCTTATTACATTGTTTAATACTCTAATTGCATATTCTACCACTTCTAACTTGTTCTTCTGACTGGGGGGATTGGAGAAAATTAGACGGTCTTTTATTGTTGTATAGTTGATATACTAATAAAATGACATTGAACCCCCAGTCAGACTCACTACTTACACGTAGATAGCATTAGGTTAAAGACTAAAATAAAGAATTACTTTATTTGTTGTTTAGCATGGCTATATAGCTAACGAACGGTCCCCCCATACGAGGGGGGACAAGCGACACTACTCTGTGTAATCTATAACAGATGCTGGCCAGCGTGGCCAGTGTGGTCACTCAGACCCTGCGTTTCTCGGGTGCGGCCGCTAAAACCCGCCCACCCACATCCTGTAATGAATACGTCAGCGCTTTAACTAACGATTGTATATATATTATACATATACATATATATGTACACAGTTATTTCTCCTGTGGAGAAAATTAGACGGTCTTTTATTGTTGTATAGTTGATATACTAATAAAATGACATTGAACCCCCAGTCAGACTCACTACTTACACGTAGATAGCATTAGGTTAAATTTGGGTTTTAACCAACATGGTGTATTGACAAGTAATAGTTTACAATATTCATTTTTCTTCATCGAATCCCGCTGATCGTTCACAGACAGTTGTAAACACGAAATACATCCGTGTCAGCAGGCTCATCTCGTGTGAAAAGAGCTGCCGCCATTATTCTCACCCTGGCGGTGGTGAACTTTCCCCCCTGCGCCCTCGTCATTGCGTCAGGTGAGACATAGACCTGCCGATGCTCGGCCCCAACACGAACTGCAGGTACAGAAACGTAATATTGTAGTAGATATTAGAAATAGGATGTCTGATCAGACCACGAAACACATACTGTGAATTTAGACTAAATTTTAACAGAATATAATAATGTTTTACGACATCATGACTTAGCAAGATGACAAAGAATAAGAAGGTGGAAGGATGTGTTTGATCTATTATTTACAACAAAATAGGGGACTCTTTAATGTCAGATTTACTGAACATGATCATGCATCTTGTACATGTCACAGTCTGTAAGAAATGGCTTTAGGGGAAAAATGCACAAATCATCTCACCTGTCCTCTCTCCATTCGAAGGACCGGCACCCGGGGATGCTCCAGACCAGGTGTTGTCTCCCCGCCAGTTGTCTCCTGAGTTGGACTGTCCGGCGACCGGGCTCATGGAGTTGTCTGGGCCCCGCCAGGTGTTGTCTCCCCGAAAGTTGGACTGTCCGGCGGCCGGACTCACTCTTCTGATGCTTTTGGAAGCTCAGCAGGTTCATTAAACTAGGGGTTAACTAAATACCAGCATCAATACTTGGGGCCATGAGGAGTCGATATTCGCAGGTCCAGCCTTCTGTACAAGATTGAACAGTTTCCTGGAGAGGGAGTAAAGTCCCACCCCTATCACTAGCAGATTTAGGACATTTCACCATAACATTGTACTATAAACATACGAGTAGAACGACAAGTAAGTACAGTAATGAATAATAGTTAGGTTAAATGATAGGTAGGGAAAAATATGAGCCTTGGAAGGAGGTTTTGAGGAAAACGGCCTGTAGTGAAAGTTTACTAAGTGATGTTATTATCGGTGTGACATGGTGACATGTCCGTTCATGTTACCTCAAGCTATGTGTATGTGTTCGATGAACTCACCTAGCAGAGTGTTCTTGCTGCAGAGCCGTTTGTTTCGGTTGCAGTCTCCAATCGCCGTCCGTTTACCACCACTGGTGTCCCCTGTACATGTATAAGGTTTCCCTCTTTGATTTGGGAACCTTCGCCGCACCAGCTTCTGGACGCATTTTGGCATGATCTCCCTTGCCATGACGACATAGCGCCTACGTGGTGGGTCCAGGACCCCGTCGTCCTACCTCCGCCGATGCTTCTTTTGTTGTGTCTTACTCCGTCCAAGCAGTTTTGCAAGGAAACTGTCACAGTCCTCAGCTGTTTCTACTGGGCC